AAAGTGCCACTTTACCGGTATGTTTCGTCCAGTATGATTTTCATTTCCTTCTGGAAATGCCGATCAATTCCTAATCTTTCTATGGTATCAACCATAGAAAGAAGAGAACATATATCCAATGGACAAATGGTTGGCGCTGAAGAAATCAATTGAAAGTCAATAACTAGATATTAGAGAGACGTGACGTTATGGAAGGCGAGTTATGTAGCTGATCCAATCGCCCTACCCTATATCTTTGAATTCAAATATATAGTGAACAAATGAAGATATATTCAGGGGAAGTTTAGGAGAATGTAATATTACTTATTTTTTAGAATGTATTTTGTTTGAGAATATATTATTTTGTTATTTTTAAAAATTATTTTTAATATCAATATATTAAAATGATTGGAAAATATATAAAAATTAATTTAAAATAAATAACTAAATATTTTCTTAGAAATATCTTTAAAACATAAAAATAAAAAAAGTCTGTATCTCTCCCTTTTATCTTTTTTTCAATTTCTTTCAATAATTTAATTTCAGCATTAAAATGATGCCTATTTAAAAAATTAAATAACACAAGAAGTTAACAAATATTAATGTTATTGGTCTAGTGTGCACTTAGACTTTATCAATTTGACCTCGCATTTTAAAAAAAATTTTTAGTAAGATATTTTCGATAAATTGAGATTTCTCCAAAAATAATGCTAATTTTTTTTTAGTAAGATATTTTTGATAAATTGAGATTTCTCCAAAAATAATGCAAGACACCAAAATTAAATATTTAAAAATTGGGAATCAAATTTCATGAATGAAGAGTTTCGGATGGGGGCGGACCAAATAACCTCTTGGACTGGCCAGAATAAGAATATTGTAAGGACAAAAAAATATTCATATTGAGATATATTCGGATAAAATTATGGACACCAAAAAATGATTATTTTGGTGAATAAATTATAAATTAGCCTCTTTAGTTTTGCAAAGAAAATTAAATAGTCTCTCTCTAGGTTCAAAAACTAATTAACTATTCTCTTGATTGTTGTTGACCATGCTTAATTTAATATTATTATTTTTAAAAAATATATATATTTTATCACTAATCTTTTTGTATTATCTATTTATATTTTTAAATAAAAATCAATTAAATTAAAAAATAACGTGAAATGGACGAAAATGATTACGTTACAAATATATTTTAAAAAATAAAGAATAATTAATTAGTTCTTGAAACTAGGACTATTTAATGTACTTTGCAAAACTAGAGGGATTAGTTTATAATTTACTTTTATTTTGGTTTGGCGTTTGGGCACTTGGAATTTGGAAACAAAGCTTGAGAAAACCCGACCCGCATGCGGACAAGCCCATCACTTGAGGTAGGGATAGCATTAGCTTACTAGTTACTTCTTTGAAATCTCTCTTTCTCGTGGGTGGGGGTTTAAGACTTCAGAGCTCAAAAACATGCAGCAGCTGAAGCTTTCTGGCCGTCTCATAAAATCTCTGCCTATCTCTTCACTGCCATCCACCCCCTCCTCCACCCTTCAACAAATTGCTTCTTCTCACTCTAAAGGTATCTCTCTGTATGTCTATGTATTATATATCCAGGTGTGTGTTTGTGTTTTTGCTGTGGCAGTGCTGCCCTTCCCTTTCTTTTCATTTTTGTTATTGCTGTACGGGGCTGCACTGTTCTCTTTTCTCGTTTAAGGAAAGCTGCAATCTTTGAGCTTTTTTATGGCAATGGGACTTCTTTGAACTGCTTTCTTGATTTTTTTTCCGGTTAATAAGCTCTTCACCATTTGAATTGACTAAAAAGGGTAATTGTTTCTTTATCACTTTGTTTCTGCGTGTATAGAGACTGCATAGGGTTATGAATTTGCATTTTCATTTAACTAAAAAGACTAATTGGGCTATTAAGACGTAAAACCATCGGTGGCATCATTTGTGCAATTGAGCTTTATATTGTTTTGTGTGCTTGATTTTATTTTCTTCTTGGTAAATGCAACATTTTGCGCTTGCCATTCATGTCATTTTCTATATTCTGTGCAACATGTGGAAGCTGTTATAAGGGTTCTCCTAGTTATCATTGGTTGGTTCCATAATGATTTCTGAACCTTTTTGTTAATTATCTGTGTTCGGCAGGAATTGCAAAGGTTGTGTTAAAAAAGGGAAAGACACAACTTTTCAAGGATGGAAGTCCAATGGTGTATAGCGGAGCAGTCGATAGAATAATTGGTAGACCGCCACCCAAGACAGGAGACATTGTGCTGGTTGCTGATGGAACAGAGAAACCTATAGGGTGGGGATTGTACAATTCAGTTTCCATGTTCTGTGTTAGGCTCATGCAGCTAGAAGAGGAAGCAACGAGGTATCTATATAAAGACGGCTGACCGGTTTGATTTTATATCCTCCATCTTTTAAGTTCTTAATTCATGTGTAGAGATCCTTCTTGCGCATTGGACATGAAGAAACTGCTTGAAACAAGAACTAACGCAGCCATAGAATTACGGAGGAGGTTGGGTCTACCCTCATCTCATACAAATGCATATCGCCTTGTCAATAGTGAAGGAGACAGGTACATGATCTTGAGCTCTCCATAACCTCAACTAGAACACGTCCACTGCATGAGATGAAGAAATTCTTTATGTGCTTTTGTTAAACGTTATTTCTTAACGTATACGTTGACTCATTAATCAAAACCATGGTTTGGGGTCTAGTTATTTTTTGAGACAGGCCAGTATGCTTATTAGTAAATCACACATAGCGGCATCACTGCAGATTGTCTGGATTAATTGTTGATGTCTTCGGAGATTTAGCTGTGATAGCATCATCTGCTGCTTGGGTTGAGAATTACAAACCAGAAGTAGAGGCTTGCATCAATAGAATTGATGGAATTAACCATATAAACTGGAGACCATCGGTTGATATTTTAAAAGAAGAAGGAATGGATGTGTCAGACATGAAAGAAGTGCATCCCTCTACTTGCCCTGAAAGAATAAAGGTAGAATGTGCCTCAAAAATTACAAATTACACAATTCATATTTTTATCAGTTTTCTTATGCTAGCTCTTTTTTGTGGTAATTTTCTGATTGCTACCTCCAAATTCACAGTTTTACTTGGTGAAAATTGAAATTAATCATTCTCATTTCTGATTGCTACTTAAATCACTCCAAATTGTGGTTTTCATTAGCAGCATCTATATTTGGATCTGCTGATCATGTCGTAATATTTCACTGATGTTAGGCAATGGGGAAAGTTAATGACAATGTTATGCTTGAATAACAAGTGCTGTTGTTTAACTCTGTTTGAGCCCATCGCCACCCATTTCTCAAGTGCTTGTCAATCTCTGGCTGAACTCCTACTCTGAAGTGTCACTATCTATGAATCATCTACGACCTATTCCCCCTTGCGTTACTGATCTAGCTTGTGCTTCTGGACGAATTCATAGCTGCAATATTGATGCTGTTCTGCAATGTTCATCTGCCAGGTTGTGGAAAACGGGATCTCCTATGCAATTTCATTGGTGGGCCAGAAGACTGGATTTTATGCTGACCAGCGTGAAAACCGCCAGTTCATATCTACAATTTCAAATGGCCAGAAAGTTCTTGATATTTGCTGCTACAGCGGTGGTTTTGCTCTAAATGCAGCACATGGAGGAGCAATAGATGTCACAGGTATTTATTCTATTTCTAAACATTTTTCATTTGGCCTGGTACAGGTTAGTGAAATGCCCATGTCCATTAATCAATGATCCTCGGGCTATTACAGCCCCCACCATATCTTCTAATTGTGACACATTCTTGATGATTCTGGATTTCATTATAAGTAGGATGCTCAAATTCCTTGCATCTGCAATGTTAATTTAGCTCTGGTCATCTCTTGCTTTCTTACAGGTGTCGATACATCTATGCCTGCTTTGGAGCTTGCTAGAGAAAATATTGTTCTTAACAACCTGGATCCAGGAAGAATATCATTTTTTAGGGAAGATGCCACTCAATTTATGAAGGGTGCCCTTTCTAGAAATGAATCATGGGATATAGTGATTTTGGACCCTCCTAAATTAGCACCGAGAAAAAAGGTACAGTAACACACGCAAGAATACGAAAGCCTGTAATCCTGTCCAATACAGGATTTTTCATTCCCTGAGGTTGCATGAGGAAATTTCTCCTAGGTACTTCTCATAATAGCTTCAAAGAATTAAGAAATTTCTCCGATAAGAAAAGTTCAGCTCAGGAAAATGTCCAAAGCTTGAAACAATATAAGTGGAAAATTTGCTCCCGTGCCTTCATCAATATAGAACCAAAACTTGTCTATATTTTGGTAATTTTCATCAAAGGCAGTTCATGTCCACATCCGAGGCTAATGCCCTGCCTCCATATATTTGTCAGTTTGTACTAATTCCGGGGCTTTTCCTGCTCAGGTTCTTCAAAATGCATCAGGCATGTATAGAAATATGAATTCGATGGCATTGAGATTAACAAAGAGAGGTGGCCTTCTCATGACTTGCTCTTGTTCAGGAGCTATGACCCAAAGTGGGATGTTCTTGCGTGTTCTTCAGGCAAGAAATATTTTTTTCTCGTGCGTATGGGAACAAAGAACTAATTTTGGCGGGTTGACCGCGTTGCAGATAATATTGGAGATATTCTAAACTGTCATCGTCAGCAAAATATATAGACACGGGCATTAATATGAGAAATGGAAATTTAATCGCATTACACTTGGGAGTTTGGCCATGAAGATGAGGTCACTTGAGGCATTTCAAAAATTAGCTTGCTCCTTGCTATTGTGTTACTTATAATGTTTTTCTTTTGTTTTGTGGAATCAGGGTGCAGCATCAATGGCAGGAAGGAAAATCTCTGTTCTGCGAGAGGCTGGAGCAGCTTCAGACCATCCCATAGATCCATCCTACCCAGAAGGGGCGTACCTTTCCAACATTTTACTAAGAGTATTATAGATGTTAAAAAAACAATGTAGACAAACAAAAAATGCTAATTCTATGATGTTGAAGCGAGTGAAGTTTTCGGGAAACAAATAATAAAAAATTGTATTCAATACTAATGTTGTAATTATACATAATGATCACTGGTGTATTGCCTAGAAATCAAGATTTCAAACCAACAGAATCCTACCCGAGCCACTGTTATGTTTTAAACATTCCATAGACATTAAAGTTACAATAAGAAGAGACGTGCCAAAGTGACGCCATCAAAAGAAATCCACAGGCATTTTTAGTGCGACCCAGGACCTCTGTTCCATGATAAGAAGGTAGGATCACCAAGCCGCCTGAGATAACACAGTAAGAGAAACAGTTAGAAATATCAACAGATATCTCACAAACAATGGAATACACATATAGCATATGAAGATTTTATGCTGCCGACTAGGGGCCATGCTCCACAAGTCAGAGCCCCACTCCATGTATGATGCTGGGCACACTTCGAAATCCTCACCATAAAATGCAAGCCTTATGAAGGGCAATTCTAACAGCCTCACTTTTTCAAGAGCCACGACGCTGTATTTGTGCGACAATATGCATTTTAACTTTAATAACTAATTTATTAAAGTTACCAAAGCTAGGCCCCTAAATTCAAGAATTAATTTGTATCTGTGATCAACTTACCTAGGCTTGAAAAAATACACAATCGTGAAACCCATTGACAAGGCGAAGCATATCATCCCAACAGTGAGATAAGCAATGCCAAGAAAGTCATTTCGTCCACCAATCCAGCTTGTGGTTGAAAGCACGAGTTTCTTCTTGCCATTAAAACTGTATGTGTTATAGTTGTTCATCAGTGTCACATTTATGACTTCTTTTGCCTCAAGATCCACCTCTATCTTCCCATACAACTTTCTAAAAGTTGGCAGAGCTGCAGTTCGCATCCAAACCATGAGGTCCTCCTGCTCGCTCAGCTGTTACACAAATCATGTAAGACCAGGTCAGTCACATGCCAATTACCAGAAGCAATTTGCATCGAAAGAAACACTGAGAAAAATTTATGGTTCTCTAGTATATTTTCACTTTTTAGCAATAGAAGAGGGGTTTAAAAATATCAACTCCTTCATGAATGAAAGAATAACTGAGGCCACACCTTCAAAACTAATCCTGAAGTTGAGGTTAAGCAACCTGAAAATACCACTCTAATAACACAACAGCAATGCAGTTTTGAAATCTACCAATGTCCAAAGTGTTATTAAAATTATTAAAGCCTCTATAAGGTATTTTCCAGGATGAAGTTGAACAGTTATTTAGTTAGTGATAAGATGAGTTGCTTATATATTAATTTGAAGTAATAGTAAAGGGCGGCTTACACGTATCAATTCATTGAGACTTGCACCACCTACAAGACCTCCACCCTGAAAGTTTTTGGGAAAGACATCTTTACCAAACCTTTTCTCCTTATCACTCTTCCAAGCAATTCCCTTCTTATTCACTGTCAATGACTGGTTCTGGCGGGAGAAGCTATAAGTATCATTAAACAAACTCCAAGCAATCAGACCACAGGGTACAATTGCCCCCCTCCCCGTTGCAATATCTTCTGGCTTACAGGAACTTGTATCATTCTCTTTACTCACACTTTTCAACTGTTCATCACTTCGGCTCTTCACATACCTGATTTATTAGAGCAATCATTAAAATTATGCCAAATAATCACCACACAAACTCAATTACATGTGCTTCAACTTTCAGTGAGTAAGCATCCAGTTTATGATTATGATAATCATGACAGTTTCACAGTCTATTCAATAGTTTTTATAAAATGATGGGTTGCTTTTCAATATTAAACACTTGAAAGAATGTAATTTTCTACCATCAACAAATAGTCAAACACGCTATTCTGAGATGAGAAACATGATATTAACCACCAATTAAGCATGCATAGAGGAGCCCTTTCCTCAACGTGTAACAAAATCCCAGGTCCTACACTTTTAACGTCTGTAATTCTTGAAAATCACAAACATCGCCATCTTGACTTATAAAATGTGGCAGGAAAATCTAAAAGGGTGCACTCCCTGAACCACATGTTATAATTGGTTCTCTGGACCATCACCTATGATCTAAATAAATGACACGCCTGGATAGTCCTGAATATCAATGCTCCCAATTTATATGAACAATATACCTCTGACCATTATGTAAAAATCTAGACATGATTACTTGAACCCATCAGAAATTATATGCTGATAGAGTACATGAGGTTGATGACATACCTACGATGATTCTGGTAGAAGTTGTCAAGCTGATAGTAAACATAAATAGGTTGCTTCATACGCTTAGGGATCTGGCAAGAAAAACAAGAGTAGAGAACGGAAGATTGTTATTCATTGCTTAACCTCAGGTCATGATGGCTAATTTCTATAATTAGCATAAGTCATGTTGCATGGGAGAAAAAGATATTCGCATGGGTTTTTTGTAAGGAGTAGCATTAAGTAACCAACTTGCTACTAATACACTGCTGATATAGCACCACTTACAGCTCTGACAAAAAGGCAATGCCACATAACAATAACATGAAGGTATATTGTATAACAGAAAAAAATATTGGCATAGGTCTTTCCTTGTTAGCTTATAAATCCACAATCACTGCTAATAAAGAACATAGAAAATGACATCAACACATCAACCATAATAATTGCAACAACAGGACTGACCGTCATTGATATTGTGCATGTTTTATCAGCAGCGCTTTGTATAAATTGGACTTTATTGGTTCTATTTTCAACCGGAATGCATTCTGTTTCATACCGTTGAACAACTTCAACAACCTGATAAAAGAAGAATAACCCATAAAAAACCATAGGTGGAAATATAACTAGAATTGCAAGGATTTAGGTGGCACTAGAGCTCACATCTCGGGAACCAAGCAAGCAAGCAATGCCAATAGGGATGAAGACAATGGCAATAAGCATGAATGCAGACACTACCTGCACAAAGAGATATATTAGGAGTTAATAACTTTGAGCACTCATTTGCATCAGACAAAACCAGATGAAAAGAATGATAAAAACTTACCCATCGTGGTGTGAGAATTGGCTTGCAAGCAGGAAGTTCTTGTTGAGTAAACTTTGAATCTGAAAGAAAACGAAACATTTTTAGTTCCATAAAAATCACATGTACACCCATATGTGCTCGTGCAGTGAAAGACAATTTGTGAGCTGTGATTGAAACATCGCTGTGCTCTCTCTATTTTTACTTTTCTTGTTTTTTTAACAGCTACACTACAATAAGATGACAAGTGCATTTTAATAAAACGAACAAAAATCGCAGATTTTTTGCTCTGGCAAATATAATACATCCCCTATAAATTTAAAATGTTTTCATCCCTCTATCTTGCTTTGCAGGATAACAATTACGCAGTCAGGCAACTATTCTAAACACTGGAAAACATTCTGTTTTCAATCTTAACGTAGATCACATGAGCATACATGCTTAAACTTAGATGCATGTAATGATAATACAGCCAAAATTACTAAAATTCCTATTCGTGTAATGGAAAAATGTCCAATTATCTCATGGCATGTTATAGCTGAGTTTCATTAATATCTTGTTTATCAAACCCAGTTTAGTTCATTTTATTGCTAACAAAGTTTAATAGCCATATTTCTCTTTCAAAAGGGGAATTTCCAAATATATCTTGATGAGGAATTAAAAAAACCAGGTAAGGCTATTCCAAAAACGGAAAGACTAAATGATCAATAAAAAGAAAACTAGATTCTTAATATGAAACAAAATAATCAAAAAAGAGCTCACACGACCACTCTCATGCAACAAAACCAACAGCTAATCAAAATAACAAGAACCCATCAAAAATATGCATAAACCTCCACATGGATGCCTATAAAACCCACTAGTGGTCACAAAAAAATTCAAATACCTGAGCCTCTGAAACAAACTAACAGGTTTATCATAAACCTCCACATGGATGCCTATAAAACCCACTAGTGGTCACAAAAAAATTCAAATACCTGAGCCTCTGAAACAAACTAACAGGAAAATAAGGACAAGGTTCAAAACCTTGCAATTTAAAAACAAAACTAACACCATAATCACAAGAGGGCAGTCGTGAATTTGCCCAAAATTGAAAAGAAAAAAAACGAGAAGTAAAGAAGAGAATCACATTTGGGTCGCTTTGAATTCCTTCTTGGAGCACCAGAATCACCCGATCCGTTGCCTCCATTACTGGAGGATGCCGCGTGGCTACTCATGATTGTGTTAAGAGATGCAAGCAAACAAACAAACACACACTTGTAGTTTCTCTCTTTCTTTCTTTGAAAAAACACAAAAACAACCGAAGAAAGAAAAACCTTAACAGAGAAAGAGAGAAAGAAAGAAAGAAAGAAATGGTGGAAAGGACCGTGTGATCAAAGAAAGAGATGGACTTTTTAAAGGCTAAGAAACAGAGAGGCAAAATATAAATAAATAAATTTTCTAGAGAGAGAGTAGCAGTATATGGTTGAATTGAATCTGCAAGCTTTTGTTTGACTTCAGAAACTGAAGAGGATGTTTCCTTGCTATCTCTCTCTAGACTTGATGAGCCCTCGGAAATTTCTCCCTTTCTAGAAGGTGAGTTTGTAGAGAGAGAGAGAGGGAAGCAAATAAAAAAATGATAGCTTTATTCTAGACCCTTAAGATTCGAAAATGTTTCATGTAGGTCCTCATCGTCACCAACCTAAGGTTTCAGAAGGTTTCAAAATCATCTGTAAATAGCAATTAGCTAGCGATGAACATTTCCGAAGCCACGTTGAGTTGAGGGGTATCAATTGACCCCCTCAACTTCTCAAAAATCGCTATAATTACATATAAAAAATATATATAAACTTTGCAGAGTTATATGTGATTGACCCTGTTAAAATATTCAAAAATCCACAGAAGAGGGTTAAATTTATCCTTTTTTTCAAAAAAAAGAAATTATATGTATAAGATTTTGGCGGTTAAATTTCTAAAACAAATATACCATTTCGTTATTTATTTATTTATTTTACATTTTCATAATTTTGAGTTATCAATTTATTATGTTTAATATTATCATAATAATTTTTTAAAAAATATTTTTTATTTAAAAATATATTAAAATAATATTTTTAGATTTAATTTTTTATATTAGCATCTCAAAATGATCTAAAAATATTATTAAAATTTTACTTAAAGTAAAAAATTATTTTTAAAAAAACACAATACCACCATAAAAATAAACACTACCTTCCCACCATATATTATTCTTCTTATATCTAATTTAACTTTTATTTAAAATCCTTTCCTCATTCAACTTTTATTTTCCTCCTTTTGTGTTTTTTTAAGGATTTTGATATAATATTTCTAGAATTAAAATTATCAATAGATAATAAAATCAAAATAAACTCAACTAGCTTTTATTTAATTTTTTTAGCATTTTGAGATTTCATTTAATTTTTCTAAATAATTTAAAAAATAATTAAAATAACGAATTGTAAGTTTAAGTTTTTTAATTGACTATGGTGAGAATAATGGGTAATTGATTTTTTTAGGACTTCTTGGTTGTTCTTCTGGAGCTTTTTATGAATAGAAAATCTTATTATTCTTCTGATGGGACTAGAAAAATCTCAGCTCATCGGAAATGGCACAGGAAAAACATTCACTGCTATCCGTTAATTATTACTAGTAATCACAACTTTTCAGACTAATGCTACTAGAGGAAAATAATAGCCTCCATGCACAGTTTGGTACGTCAATGCCGATGATTGTCAACGCCATCGTGGGCAGTATGCATCATGGAATCCTGTTGCATTCTGTGATATCATTTATTCAGTGAGGTTGAATGTACTTTTATTAAAATTTAATTTTAAAAAAAATATTTCTTTTAAATTTTTTTATATTTTCATAGGATGATATCAAAAATAAATTTTAAAAATATTATTTATTTCTTTTAAATTTTAAAAATATTATTTTGATATATTTTTAAAAATAATAATTCCATGCTGCACGGTGAATATTTTTAATTCAGAGTAGTATATATTGGCAACGCGTCGATTTTGCCAATCCCTCTATTGCAGATTCGGTGCTAGAGCCGCCCGGTGAAATTAATAGACCAATTATCTTGACCATTAATAGGAATTTTATTGGAGAAATTTCCATGTTAGTCAAACATCTCTGTGCGGAAGACCACGTTATGTTCATATGAATGAAAAAACAAAGATTGATGGATGAACTATACGTTGAGCTCATAGTCAAAAGGATTTTCCATCCGTTGGGAAATAGCTACGATTAACAGCAGACCAGGAGAGAATAATTAATTGGGTTAATTAAATATACTTAAAGAGAGTGAAAAAAATCATCCTCGCCATACAATCATGCCTGTCATCACATGAAAGCCACAGTCATCCATTAAGTCACATGATTAGTAGTGTTACCTGGAAAAAAAAAAAAAAACCGTTCTTTAACCTCTACGATGAACACGGAGCTTTCTTCTGCCATGAAACTTGACAGATGTTTTTGAGCCAAGCAAGTTATGCTTTATATGAAGTTTTGAATCACTTGGATTCTATTCTTGTACTTGTCTCAGCTGTGCGTGCAATAACTATTTGTTCTGATCTAGTAATCCTGCAACTGTTAACGAGAATTACACTGCCTCCACTCATTCATTGACTGCAATTTCTGTGATTAACAGAACAGGCTGTTATAAGAGGAAAATACAGTGAACAAGGATGTAATGTTGGCGAAGATGGTGGTTTTTCTCCGAACATATCCAGGCAAGTGTTTCATGTATGATGCTTGATAACCTTGTCTTTGAAAATTCCGTGACCTCTCCCCATCTGCAAATCACCCTCCAAAAATAAATCTCCGAGGATATGAATGACAGGAGAATGAAAAAAGATGCACAGCTGATAGACAACTACCGTGTCTTTTCTCCAGGATAGCTGTAATCTGCTGCATCCGCCCCCTTAAAGAGAGCCATGTATATTCAAAATTCATGCGAGGTTCGTATTTAATCACATCCATTGGCAGTCTCCAAGAAGGTTTGGATCTAGTTAAAGAGGCCATCAAAAGAACAAGGTACAATGAGAGAATAAAGATGGCCACTGATACATGGTGTCGTCCTAGCGGTGATAAAGTTAGCAGAGCATGTTTTCAAGTTCAGAATCCACTCAGGGATACTTACTTTTAGACCCTATTTATGATTCGATTTGTAGAGCAGTTCTAAATTTATTTATTTTCTTATTTTTTGTATCTTTGTTAATATTTTTGGATTTAAAGTTGATTTTATTTTCTAGCATGGTCTTTGATGAAAAAGGACAAACTATATATATACATAATTTTTTTGGCTATTATTATTAAAAAAATCAGAAATTTAGATTAAGAATATGGTTTTTAAATCTGGTTCCATCCAAGACTTGGGTTTTAAATTTAGATCGGATTGCTTGGATTAATTTTTTTAAATCAAAACCATATTATTTTAGTTAAAAATATAAAAATTAACAAATTACAATTAAATTTTTAATTAGATTATCAAGTCATTATAAGTTTTTTTTTTCCAACTGACTTATTCAAACCCTAAATTAATTAAATTCTGAGTTAATCTAATGCCAGATTTCAAAACTAAAGAGAATTTTTATAGTTCACTTTTTTTTTTTTGAAGATTTTAAAGTACAAACAAATCCCATATTCTTTGTACGCAGACATGTCGGAACATTGTTGAAGATCTTACCATCATCTGAGTTTTTTTTATTATGTATATTTTAATTAGAAAAGTTATTTAAAAAGATAATTGTATTGAAATGAAATAAATGCTTTATTTCTTTTTTAATGAGTTTGATATTATTTTTTTTCTATATGATTACATTTAATTGATTTATTTTTTGTTGGCTTCACTTTATTGATTTTGATTTTTAAAAAAAATATATAAAAAAAATATATTTTTATATATTTTGTTTAGCATTTATTTTGAATCACATGTAAAACAAGTATGAAAAAATAAAATAATTTTTATTTTATTTTTGACTTTTCATTTAGCACAGCCCGTTCAGTTGATCTTACTGGCCACGATAGCAATACGTACCCCACTCTCCTTTCTCTGCAAAGGATACGTCATAATTACTAATTTTTACCTTATCCATTGCTGGGGGTTCCAAAGCTAAAAGGTGTATTAATTCGTGTGATTAGTGTTTAAAAAAATAAAAATGTCGAATACTATATCTTGGTCGTATTTTGGGACCCCAAAATTTGATGTCTCTCCCTCGACTATTTCCAAGAGGTTTTGTCTTTATCTTCAACCAATTATCACTTTGTGTGCGACAATGGTGACTTATGAACCACCACTTTTTTAGAAAAAAGTTTAATTTTATTTTCTGATTAGCTTTTATTCGTAAAAATCAAATTTCTCATTGAGGAAATCTTAAGCGTGCTGTTCACACTGCTGTGTATGTGTGTGTGTATCATACAACACGAAGAAATTGTCCTGTAATTTCGATCGACAATTTGGGAGTTCTTGCACATGTACCAAACGGAGTGCACCCTCCATATTTTGCCGGAGTGGCCAAACCAGCCATCCATTAATGGCTAAGTGCCTTGAGAGAGACACAATATTCGCTTTATATAGCATCAGTACTCGTGTGGATAAAATGCTCTTCATTTCTTACTGCCCAACTCCTGTTATGTAAGTCTGCGTTGCGTGTTATAGTTTCTTTGACCTGAATACCAGTATTCTCGTGGATTTCGCTAGACAAAAGCAATAGTGATTAACAATCGGGTGTTATGGTCCAATTATATTTAAAAAAAATGATTTTTTTTAGTTTTAAATTTTGATTTTTTATATTATTTTAATTCCCAGGCAGACACTAAACCACGCACCCCGCCATTTCTAGGCTGCTTCAATGGACACCGGGCCTTGATTTTATCGAGTTTTAAACGGTCAAGAACAAAGGGTGGAACCCTCGATTGAAATTAGCTCCGAAGACATGCCATCCGTGAACAAGACAGAAACGACTGTATAAATCATATTGAAACCTACTTTATGGCACAGGTCATCTGCATCGAATCACAGGTCTAAAAAACAATCACATTGGACATTCAAAGTTAATCAGCATTTCTGGGGACATTCAAAGTTATGATCTCCTCTCCGCTAAAAGACGACATCCTCGGGCAAAACTGTTTGCATTAAGTCCCATGTAAGAATAATACCACCGATTTAATAATTTTCATAACTAATTCATTGTCTGATAGTCATTGTAGTGTTTGTGCTTTGACGACAAAGTGAATCTATTATGAATTATGATTGTAAAGATAATAAAAGATTCAAGGTGAAAACATTGTTCATTTGAACATATAAACAGTAAACCATCTTATTTTTTTCAATATATTTTTTTATTGGAATTTTTTCATCGAATCTGTTTACCTTTTATTTAGCAATTTTAGTCTAATTTTACAGAATTGATAACCGGTAAACTATGACGCAGTGTTTTAATTGTGAATGATGAACTATCTCAAACTTCTTTTTTCATCCACGTCCTTTTTTTATGGAGTAATTTACTTCTTATTTAACAATTATGGTATGTTAACACAGAATTATGTTGAGTGGACCATGGAATAGTGTATGAAATCA